CCAACATCCCCACCCCCTCTCCCCTGTCTGTGGAACTTTTTGAGCACTACAAATTCACATCGCCCCCTTCACTTATCCTTCATTCAATCTCCTATCTTCTCCTTCACTTCTTAATTCCCTCTCCCTTTCAAAACCAAAGAACTAAAAGAAAAACTCACAACTCCATATATATATATATATATATATAGCTATCTCCTATTCAAGATTAATTCTTGATCATTTCCCAATCCCTCTAACATGTCAACCATAGTATATCAAGGTACTTTGCAGTCATGTTTTGAGTCCCAAATCATTGAAACAACAACCTTAAAGCTCAAAGTGCCAACCCCATCTACTATAGAATTTGGTAGAGGACCTTGTTTGATAGAAAACAATAAAGAAAATCTTAAAGAAAAATGTCAAAACAAGCCCTCCTCTACAACAACTACTAGCAATCTTGATTTGGGTGGTAGTTGGAGTTCTATTCAAACTCTGTCCAACATTTCTAAAGAAGAAGGCAGCAATATTTATGTGCACCCTTTATCCAAGCGATCTTCATATTCGTCAAGACTTAGTGCAAAAAGCCTTGAATTATGCACTGAAAGTCTTGGAAGTGAAACTGGAAGTTGTGATATCATGGACAGCAGCATTTTCTCCTCTTCATTTTCTTCTTCTTCTTATTCAACAATTGAAAAGTCACCATCTTCAATTGAGTCATCGTCATCATCCACGTGGTCAAGAAACTGCAATAAAAGTCGTACTAAGAAGAAGAATTCTTGCACCAAATTTCCACCTCCTTTGACAACAATAAGGGGTTCGAATTCTCTACAATTTAGACCCCACCGTGAAGATGGTAGGTTGATAATCAAAGCTGTTGAATCCCCACTTACACATAATTATCTTCAAGCTGAAAGAAGCAATGGCCGACTTAGGCTCTGTTTTTTCAAAGATGGAAATTCCCATTTTGACTCTGTCACGACCCTTGAAGAAAATGAAGAATTGGAAGCAACTGAAAATGACATGTTTGAAAATAATAATGAAGAAGAAGAAGAAGAAGAAGAAATGGAGGAAGAAAAATTAAA